GCGTAGACAATTTTCTGCCATAGACTGTAATACCCATTAGGAACTTCAAATACGAAATATTGGAGTAGCGAATATAGTGGGGGCTATACCTAAACGTGGACCTATAGAGTCCATTTTCAATACCAAAAGTTCTGCAGATAAACCATTCTTCAATTCTTTCGGAAGCTAGAGAGATTTCCACAGACGAACTGACAGATTGACACACGGATATGTAAAAGGAAGCTACGATCTGCAGTTCGAACCTTTAATACTCCCCACAATATGAAAGGGAATTACATAATGTTACAAAATTCCGTTGAAAAAATGGTTTACAAGAAGGCATAGCAGTGGTTAGGTAGTAGTATCCATATTCCAAAATTCAAATAATTTCGGTGGAAAGTGTGGCTAAAATCATCAAAATACTGTGTAACGGGAGGTACCGTTATAGGTTATACGAAGACCTATAAGCAATTTTCTCTCAGTGGAGGTAGTATTCATTACGAACTCAAAATACCAAATTTCATACAATTCCGGTGAAAAATGAGACACAAATCAACAAAATACCGAAAATCGGAAGGTACAGGTATATGGGGACTATACCTAAACTTGGATCTATATGAAGAGTTCTATGCAAAGATGCTTCCTATACATAGGAACAGAATTCAAATTTACAAAAATCTGTTCAAATATGACTAGAGCAGCCAAAACACCTTAAGTCTGGCGGTACAGTTACATGGGAAATCTATAAGGCCCATTTTCATTACCAACAATTCTACGAACCTATAATGCATCTCAGCATCATTTTATTAACTTATTTTGTATTTTATTCCATAGCTAGAGTGATTCCCATAGACGGATGGATATGGCTAAATCGACATAGAATATTAAGCTGATCAAGAATGTGGGGTCCAAAATGCTCATTTCGAGGAGTAACAAGTTATAGAAGAAGTCTGTCCAATTTTGTACGGCAGAACATAACATTTACATATTCAACAAATTGGTGTTAAAAAACGCTGAAAATTCAAAGAAAGTCGCTCAAGTACCAGGATTTTGATATTCTTTTCAAATTAACTTAGTTATTAAAAAAATTCCTAGTATTTTGTAAATTTCCTTTTTTGTACGAATATATTTCGTTACAATCTAATATTTTTGATTAACGTAAAAGTACTCACACACATGCATATATTTTATGTAATATGATAATAATAACAAGAATAAGAAGAAGTGCTGTAGCTACAAACTTAGTAACACATGTTTTATTTTGTTATGACGTCCATTATGACATAAAGCAATGAAACGAAAGATAATTATTTTAATTTTTTCCAATTTATCTTTCAATAGCGTCCTCTTGCCGCCAACAAACGCAGAGTGGCCGGCTCGACAGCAAGGCATACATTTGCCTAGTGATATTGGCCGAATATCCGCAAGAGGCTGCACTGGTGGTGGGTCATCACATCAAAGGGTGGGCATACTGCCACACATACACACATGCATCCACTATTCATTTGTCTAGACGTCTTATCATGCGGTTAAGAGTAGACAGGCTACTCTTTGTATCATGACATTTGTGGCTACAAAGAGTTTAATATTTACTCACAAGAAGTAGAAGAGATCAAATGTTAAAGTAGGCAACAAACAAAACAAAAAAAAAAAAAAAAACGAGAGTGATGCAGAGAGTAAGTTGTGTTGTGTTGTGTTTATTCATTCATTTGAGAGCCAATTTAAACAATATTTGTTTATGTATTTTCTATGTTAGTCCAACGATGATTATACAATTTTTAAGCTGAGCTTATTCTCTGCCTAACAGGGATGGGAATTGTTATAAAGAAGGTTAGGCCAATAATTGTGTCTGTAGTAATTTTAAAAACTATAAAAAAATTTAGGAGCTGTGTGAGCTGAATAGTCAATCGATTAAAAGACAAAGAAAAAACTCCTCTATAGTATGTTCCGAAGGAGTGGGGCGACATTGTCATAACATTTAAAAGTTTTTATATGAGAATTCAATCACACACGCTATGATTATAATTATAATTTAAAATTCAAAGGACTAAATATACCGAAGCATTTGTATTTTTTAAATTCGGACTTGTATTGCCCATTTTGTGCACAATTAACTTGAAATCAGATAAAGATATATATGTGGAGCTATATCCAAATCTGAACCGATCTCGATAAAATTTGGCAAAGAAGAAAGCTGTATTTGATATATTTCCCTGAATATCGTTATTACGGAGTGCATATTACGGCTGTAGGTAACAAATACAACAAATCGGATGAACAATATATATTGGAGCTATAGCTATATCTGAAGCGATCTTCACCAAATTTGACATACTAGCTTCTAGACTCAACTCGGTCCATCCCATTTGGGATATTAGACGTTTGGTGCACAATAAAATATTAGACGTTTGGTGCACAATAAAAGGTAAATCGGACGAACTTAAAAGGTAAATCGGACGAGCTATATCCAAATCTGAACCGATCTCGATAAAATTTAGCAAAAGTATTTCTGAGCAGTATTTGATATATTTCCCTGAACATCGTTGTTACGGAGTGCGTATTACGGCTGTGGGTAACAAATACAACAAATCGGATGAACAATATATATGGAAGCTATAGCTCTATCTGAACCGATTACGATCAAATTTGGTATACTTATTTTCAGGCCTAATTTGGTTGTATGCGCAAAATTCCATACTCTTCGGGCTGATAGTACACGTTTGGTGCACAATAAAAGGCAAATCGGACGAAGATATATACGGGAGCTATATCTAAATTTTTACCGATTATCTCAAATTTCAATAAACCAAACAAATGTTGTTTGGAAAATTTCATCTCAATCGGATAATAAATGCGACCTGCATTTTGTTCGCAAGAATACATGGACAGGCGGTCTGACATGCATAAATCAACTCAGAAAGTGATTCTATGCAGATCATCAAAAGAAACTATGGGTCTATCTCGTTTCCTTTTGCCTGTTACAAACAAATACACAAAGAGATAATACCCTGACCACCTTGTGGTATAGGGTATAAATATGGGTATTGAAAATCGAAAATGAAAATGGTGGAAGTGGGCCCACTTCTTCTGGTAACTCCCCCACAAAGGGGTCACATTTTTGAATAATGCTGCAGCTCATAAAACGAGAAATGAGCATCCGATTATTTTCTAACGGTATTTTTAAGAATATTCCATACCATTCATTCTGGTACCTCAACCAAAACGAATCAAAGTTTTGAATAGTTATATCTCTCATAGAATGCGAAGTAAGCATCAGATTCCCTTAAAAAATTTCACGCATCCCAATATATTGGATTACACAAGATCTGGTATGAAGACGTTGGATATGGGTCCACTTCTTCTGGTACCTTCCCCACAAGGTTCAATTTGAATGACCAAAACACTAATAAAAGGCGAAATAACATTCGATTATCTTCAAAATTCAGACTTCGCAAGATTTTTATCAATACAAGGTCTGCCATGAAGATGACAAATATCGACCTAGCCCTTCTGATACCTCCCCCACAAAGGCTCACAATTTTAAATACTTATATCTCTCATAACTTGTGAAACAGGTCGTCGATTCTTTTCAAACTTGGCATATTTAACTATTTCTCTCAACCAGAGATCTGACGTGAATATGGAATTTATCGGCTCACTACATCTCGTACCTCCCCCACAAAGGGTCACAATTTTTGATTAACAATTATTCCAATAAAATTGGTAATAGAAATCTGATTTTCTCAAAATTTTTTATCAGTATTAGATGGAGTGGTAGACTTTGGTCCACTATACCTGGTACATCACGCATAATTCAATATTTTCGAACAATTTTCACATTTCTCACATAAAAAGCAGAAAGTAATCAATGAGTGCCCAATAGGGCACGTTGTAATATTTGTTCAGATGATAATATTGGTCCACTCTTCCGTTGTCTATTGACATTTTGGCCATTTTGCTGGGGAGTGGTCCGGTATTGCCCATCTCCGAACTCGATCTAAGTTTGGACCAATTCGGATACTTCCTTTTAGAGTTATCGTGCCAGACGGACGAACACCTCTAGATCGACTTCCAATGTCCTAAAATGAATAAGGTGGAGATCTAGGGTCTAAAACCGCTATTTCGATAAGGCACATTTTGCCGTATCAAATGATATATACCCGCTGTGGCCATTTATGAAATCCACTTATATGTAACTTCCATACCGTTTCTGGTTCTGTATCTGGCAACCCTCATTTAGGGAAGTTCTCAGACAATTCACACAAAATGTTGTAGTGGTAGTATCACATGATCGGTTAAGGTCTTGCTCTGGCTTGACATAACTCTACTATCTGTACTTAACCTTTGTGGTGTGTGGTCCACAACACAACAGATGCCTCCCCAAAAAAAGTTACCTAAAGGCCGTGAGAGAAGGAAGTAAACGGCACACGATTGCCGCAAAGATCAACAACAATGGAGAGAACATATAGATATTCTAAGCCTGATATTAGATCTTCCCATTACTCTTGGTAATATGAGCAAAGCTTTGCTCTTTCAATGTGGGTTTTAATTTTAAGCTCACGTGTTTTATTATTACAAAGGCAAAGGGTGATGGTGGTGCTGAGGGAGAGGTTGGTGGCTTTTTTACTCTCTCTCTTTCTCTATAAACACTTGGGAGATTAGTGGCAAATTTTTGAAGAGTCATGAATAAAATTTTAATTTTATTGGGCGCCAAGTTTTGTTTAGAAATTAATTGAGAGCATCTGAGGCTTAGAGAGAGCCCCAGAGAAGGCAAAATGCCATGGTGAAGATCACTGTGTGAGTGAGGGTTTGTGAAAAACTAAATTCTCTTTTTTTTGCCGGTGGATTTTATGGCATTGTATTTGTTGTCATTTGTTTAGACTGTAGCTCTGGAGGGAGATTTGCTTGGCTGAGCAGTTACTTTCAGATTTGGTTACGCGTTTGCCGGTTCACTAAAGCAGATACAAATTGGCTCATTTTATGGTTGTTGTTTGTATAAAATGATATTGTTGTTGTTGTTGTTGTTTTTCCGTATTGTAGAGTAGTAGTGCTAAGACCACATATTTTTTAGTTGCTGAGTAGCACAGATAGAAACCATGCACACTTAAACAAACACACATGGACACACAGACATAGGCAGAAGCACTCTTGTACAGAGTGGAAGATCTATGCAAACAACAATCACAGAGAGCTCTGGCAGCAATACTCGTACTACCAAAACCCGCCAACTGATGATCAAGACAAAAAAAAAAAAAAAAAAAAAAAAAACGAAAAAAACAACAGCAAAAAACACAAAAAAATAATAAAGTCTGAAACGACAGACATAAGACCAGACCCATAGAGCAGTATTGGACGCGTGTTTATGAGGCAACGAACGACAAGCGCTCAAAAATTCAACGCCAGCCACAACACATAACTCAAAAATGAAAAAAAAAATGGAAAAAAATTAGTTTGGTTTCGTTTCGTTTGACGGCAATCGAAAGAAATTCAATAAAATAAAAATTTCAATAAAATTAAATACCAACCAACAACAAAAGTGTGCTTTAAACAAATTTTGTTGAAAATTGAAAAATTTTTTGATTTTGAAAAGTTTCGGAATTATATGGATTTGATGTTTGGTGTTTTTCCCACCCAAACTTTTCAAAAGTGTAAGGCAGTGTTGAATAATATTGTTCGTTATGTTATGTGAAATAATTCGGAGTGCAGAGATGTATTTGGAATTCGGAAATTTTTCTATAATCAACAATAAATTGTTTTTTTTTGGTTAATCAGAAATTTCGAAGCCGAGTCAGAGCCTGAGTGTCAATAAAATAATTTAAAGTTTAATTACAAAGTCAAAAAAGAAATAGCAACAGTTTTTAAAAATTTATTGTGAATAAGAATTAAGTGATTTAAAAAAAAAATTAATTTTTTGTAAAATATAAATCAAAACAAAACGAAAAAATAACAAACATTCGAATATAAAAACAGAAAAACGAAAAATACGGAAATATGAAATCTCATTTGTTTATAATGACCTTTGAAAAAAATTCAAAATATTGTGCCTTATTTCTTTATTTTTCGAGGAAGCCAACATAGAAAAATCTCAGAAAAAAATTAAAAAATCTTGGACATTTTTGGGAAATAAAACCATAAAAAATGAATTTAGGCTGACTTGGTTCAATTTCGATGCATAATTTATACTTTGTCATCCTAGACTTATTTGTTTTTGAAAAAGCTAGCCGGTGACTTGGGCCAAAAAAAAATCCTCTTGGGTAAATCCATTGAATCCCATGTTCGGGCATTACGAAAATAAATACTGGTGTTAACTGATAACTTAACTATATCTAATGATTTCAAAATTCTCCTACATTCGACTAATTAGTTAAAGTTGAAATGCGAAATAAGTCGCGAAGGAAATTTTCCATTTAGTGTAAGACGTACCCAAATTTAAATCAGTGTTCAGAATTTCTGGCCCGGCTTTGTTGCCGGAATTTAAAAAAATTTTAAAAAAACGTTTTAGATTTTCAAAATTTTGCAGCTGAACATTAAAATGGGTGCCATACAAAATGTTTGACCAACCTAGACCATCAAGGACTTCTATATAAACAACTTTTGCTCTTCTCCCAAAGTATCCTTTGCTTACCATGAGAAGAAACAACTTAGAGTTTTCATTGAAAAACTTGCTGGTCTTTTCCTTTTTCTCAGAGAGAATCGACGATTTTCTTGATTTTTTGGAGGATATATCCTGATTTTTTTTGGGACAACTTCTAGTTTTTTATGAGCCCACCCTCCGATTTCATGTGAGATGAACTACTGATCTTTCGTTGGAAGGCTCTCTGGTTGTAAAGAAGAGCTCTTGGCCTTCTTGGAGAGGTGCTTTTTGAAATCTGTGAAAAGTCCTTCCACAAGAGAACTTTTGGTCTTCAATGAAGAGGACTTGAGGTCCTCTATGAAAAGAATATTCTTCCTTCCATAAGAAGGAACACTGGTCATCCATGAGAAAATTTAGGAGTCTTCTGATCCTGATCTTCTGATCCTCTATGAGAAAATCAGTCCTCTGATCCTCCTCTGAGAAAAAAACCTTGTTCTCTGGTCATTTATTCATAAGAGACCTCTCTAGTCTTCACCAAAAAGACCTTTCTGGTCTTCTATGAGAAGAAGACTTCATGTCTTCTATGAGAATACCTTCTGGTCTTCTATTTATAGACATTTTGGTCATCTATGAAAAGATCTCCTGATCTTCTTCCCGGTCTTCTATTAGAACATCTCCTGGTCTTTTACAGAAGACCTCCTGTTCTTCTAGAGAATACCTCCTCCTGATTTTCTATGAGAAGAACTCTCTGGACTTCATTGAGATCATTTCATGGTCTTCTGTGAAAAGACCCCCTGATCTCTGAAAAGTCCTTCATGGTATTCTATGAGAAGATCTTTTGTTGTTCTATGAGAAGACCAGCAGATCACCTGAGCTTTTGAGAAGATCTCTTAGATGATCTATGAGAAAACCTTCCTGGTCTTCTATGAGAAGACTTACTTAAGCTTCTATCAGAAGACTTCCTTCCGGTTTTCTATGAGAAGACTTGTTCCTGATCTTCTATGAGAAGACTTCCTTGAGCTTCTATTAAAAGTCCTCCCCCTGGTGTTCAGTGAGGAAACTTCCACCCGGTTTTCTATGGGAAGACCTTCTCCTGGTCTTCTGTGAGAAAACTTCCTGGTCTTCTATGAGAAGACTTCTTGTCCTTCTCGTCTTCCATGAGAAGATATCCTGGTCTTCTATGAGAAGACTTTCTAGTTTCCCATGAGAAGATATCCTGGTCTTCTTAGGCTTCCATGAAAAGATATCCTGTTTTTCTATGAGAAGTCCTCTTGGTCTTCAATGAGAAGACTTCGTGGTCATCTATCAGAAGAGACCTCCTGATCTTCTATGACAAGGAACTCTTCGATTTCTATAGGAAGATCTCTTCTATGAGAAGTCCTCTCCTGTCTTATGTAAGAAGATCTCCCTGGTCTTGTCACCTTTTTGATGATCACCTGGAATTCTCTGAGAATTTCTTGCTTGGTTTCTATGAAAAAACCTCCTGATCTTCTAAGAGAAGACACCATGTCTTCTATTAGTACGTCTCATTCTGTTCTTCCATTGGATGATGAGGATGAGGTCTATCCTGGTCATCTATAAGAAGAACACTTCCGGGCCTTCTACGAAAAAACCTTCCGGGTAATATATAAGAAGATCTTCTGGTCTCCGGAGATCTCATCCTGGTCTTCCATGAGAAGACCTCATCCTGGTCATTTATAAGAAGACCACTTCCGGGCCTTCTATGAAAAACCTCCGGGTATTATATAAAAAGATCTTATGGTCTTTCATGGGAAGAATGAAAAGGCCTTAGAGAATATCAACTGACTTGCTATGGAAAGCCCCTATAGAAGAAGTTCTGCTTTTGGTATTCAAGGTAGTCTTCTAATAGAAGACTGTATGGCCTTCTTCTACCTTGTAGTTCGCTGAAAAAAGACTTTGTGGCCCTTTGTTTTTCTGAAAGAAGACCTTCTGGCTTTCGGTGAGAAAAATAGTCTGGAATATAAAGGCTTTTTTAAGAAAACCCATAATCGGCTACAAGAAATGCTGTCTTCCAGAAGACGATGTTGGGGTCTTCAATAAAAAAGGGGTTAGGGAATACCTCCTGATTTTTTTATTTAAAATAATGTTATTGTTTTCTCTGTGTAGACCTTCCGTTTTTTTTTTTTTGGGAGAGAATCCCTGGTCTTTCTGAAGTAGACCTTCCATAAGGAATTCTTCATTTCAACTATGACTCTGGTTCTTTAGAGGAAATTAAGGGATGTTTAAAAAAACCTACCGCTCTGCTCTTCTTGAAGAAATTGTTCGAGTGGATGTTATTGGATTTTTATGAGACTCTCTCCAGAATCTAAAGAATCGGTTTTCAGTGGGAAGACTATCTGAGGATATGATTTTGTTTTCTTGGAGCAGACCATTTTTGGGGAGTCTGTCTGGTCTTGCAATTAGCAGCACTTCAGACCTTCTGTGAGAAAAAAAAAACTATGGCTCATTTCCAATTTTAAATTTATGATTAACGTCATTTTTTTTAAATCCTGGCCTTAGTTCCGTAATACAAAAAAAAAAAAATAATAATAATAAATAAATAAAATAAAATAACATCTTTATTTTTTATATATATCAAAAATGTAACAATATCTTTGGTCATTATAAATGAATTCTGCTTTGAAATAAAATAAATAACTCTAAAATGCTCATTTCAAACTAACCTAGGTCAATGTGTTAAAAAAAAACATAATGTGTTCGGTGTTCTCGTTTTTAAATTAAAAATTATAAAAATTTTAAATAAAAATACATATAAAAAATATAATAAAAATTTTATTTAATTTTAATTAACAATTCATTAAAAAAAATAATAATGTCACCCCTTCCAAACCCCCGAAAACAAAAAACCGAAAAAAGACAAAGCAAATCTATTTAAGAAACGTTTAACACTTTTCAAGTGTTTGCATACGGGCGTGCGTGTGTTTGTGCGTGTTCTTTTATTTTAATGAAAATGTATAATTAAATGTTTATTTTTGGGGTTCTGCATTTAACAAAACCAAACGAAAAAAAAAAAAACAGAGAAAAAATTAAATAAACACCGCAACCAAATGACGTCTAATTCGATACGTTTTGTTGTGCCGTTTCGTTTCATTTCGTTTCGCTTCACTTCAATTTTCTGTTCGATTTATTTGAAGCTTAAAAGCCAAGCAAAGCAAAAAACGCCAGTCAGTGACAATAAAAAAAAATAAAAAAAACTCCTCAGAAACAAAACAAAGAAAAAATAAACCTGCAAAAATCATTGAAACTGCCTAAACGCTTATAAACTATGGCAGCAACAAGCACGCAAACCAAACCGAAACTAAAAAACCTTAGCAAACATGCCGCTAACCCCCACCCAAGTCCGGCCCCCACACCGAGGAATATTGGCGCAAAGCAGAAAAAATCTGTTTTAGTTTTTTTTTTTTATTTTTTTTTTTCAAATAAATTAGCGGTTAATGTCAATGTCTTTGAATGGCACATGTTTGAAAGTTAACAAATTTATTTGTGTAAACATTGTCAGTGTAGCGTTGTAAACTAAATCTGGTAGAAGAAGAAGAAGAAAAAAAAAAAAAAACAAAAATAGCAGAAAATTTTATTTTTGTTGTTTGAAAATAGACAGCAACAAATTGATTACTGTCTGAGATTTATGCATCTCGCAAGACCAAAAACTATTTTGAAAACAATAACAAGGAACTTAAATACCATTACCCAAGATTTGCTACGAGTTTGTTTTCGGTTTTGTCGTTGTTTTTTTTTTCTACTTGAAATAAATATTGGTATTTTTAAACGAAACTTCTTCAGAAATATGGGTCTATGACCGGCCTAGTGGCTAAAGTTATTTTTGTGATTCTCAAAACAAAAAAAAAAAAAATCGAATGTAAACAAAAGTGGCAAAACAAATCAATAAACTATTAAGGCAGAAGAATGCGGAACTGTAGGAAAGTTGAAATATTTGAAGAAGAAGAAATGGTCTAAAAAGTTTCGTTATATTTTGTATACCCTCCACTATACTGTGGAGGGTATATTAACTTTGTTATTCCGTTTGTAACTCCTCGAAATACTCATGTCATACCCAACAAAATATATATTCTTGATCAGCGCCAAATTCTAAGTCGATTTAGCGATAACCGTCCGTCCGTCTGTCTGAGTGTCGGTCTGTGTGTCTGTCTGTCCGTTTGTCTGTTGTAATCACGCTATCTTTCGAACGAATTGAGATAGAAGGCTAAACTTTTGCACACATGTTTATTTTGCCAGTGGGCAGGTTAAGTTCGTAAATGGGCCATGTAGGTCCACGTTTTGGTATAGCCCCCATATAATGGTACCTCCCTATTTTCGGTATTTTGGTGATCTAGGCGACATTATTCACCGAAAACGTTTCAAATTTGGTATTTGAAGTTCAAAATGGATACTACAGCCTATGACAGAAAATTGTCTGTTCAGGTCCACGCCTTCGTATAGCCCTCATATAACGTCACCTCCCGATATTCGGTATTTTGATGATTTTAGCCACATTTTTAAATGAAATTGTCTGAAAATAAACACAAATTTTTTTTTGTTTTTGTTTTTCAATAAAATTGACTTAAAATCCACATAAGGATTTCCATCTACGTACTTTATCCCATAGTAGATTATTGTCTATATAGGTCCACGGCATCGTATACGCCCAATAAAACGGTACCTCCCTATATTCTGTATCTTGATGAATTTAGCAAAATTTTACTATGGATGTCTAAAAATCCGTACTAGAAGTTCTTTCCAAGCACTTTACTCCCTGGAAGGGAAATATCTATAAAGGTTCACGATATCGTATAGCCCACATACAACGGTACCCTCCGATATTTGATATTTGGCGATTTTACGGACGTTATTCACCGGAATTGTTGCAAATTTCGCACCTAGAATTCATAATGGATACTATAGCCTGTGAAAAAAATTGCTTATGCAGGCCCAGGGCTTCATAGAGGCCCCATATATCAGTACCTCCCTATATTCGGTATTTTGATAATTTTAGCTACATTATTTACAGGGTTTTTTCATGTTTTGTTATTCAATATGACAAAAGTTGCCTATGTAGGTCCACGTGTTCGTATAGACCCTAATAATCGGTATTTTTAAGATTTTAACAGAATTTTTGGCAAATGTTATTTTTTTGAAAAATTTCAAATTCGGTCCAAATGGTGGAGGGTATCCAAAGTTCGGCCCTGCCGAACTTACTTCTTTTTTTACTTTTTTGAATACACAAATTTTCAAAGAGGGCTAAATGTTAAAAATAGTACATAACAGAGTATCATTGAAATTACGGACTTCTAGAGAATGTTTATGTGCACAAACTATTGGGCCATGGTAGAAGAATACAGGTCGATGCATCAGCGCTTGGGAACATTGATATGTCAACAATTTTTAAATATTTCTTCAAAAATAAGTAGATTTTTATTTGTTTTTATAAAACGACGAAAGGTGGCTTTACAAATTGAAATAATTTTTCATTCAAAAATTTCAATTCCAAAATTGGTTTGACAGTTCATTGGCCCAGCGGCTGTGTCGATGCGACTACCTGTATTTATCTACCATGCAACATTATTCCATAAACTTAAAGAGAAGCAGAGAGGGAGAGAGAGAATAAAAAATATTTCTTCGTGCTTTGTGTTAGATCCTTACCAATGACCAGGAACATAGCATCTTCCAATAATGGGTTTTGCTTATCCTAAAGTCTAATATTGTTATGGAAGGGGCAGAATCTTCGTTTCGGGTTTGTTTCAATCGCAAACAATAAAAAATGTGATTAACTTGATAGAGTAATGATTGAGGTACCTGAAACATTTGAAAATACGTCCAAATGCAGCCGTATCGACTTTTATACCCTCAGATATATAGCTACAGAGGGTATATATCATTTGATATGGCCAAAACATCTCTCATCGAAATAATTGTTTTAGACCCTAGATCTCTTTGGACCAAATCTGTTTCAGGACATTTGTAGTCGATCTAGGATCCGTCCATCTATATGTCTGACTTCGAAAAGGGTTATATTAAAAAAAATATATATAGGATAAGAGTTCCACGAAATTGAAACGTACGTCCAAAAATTCACTCCATTTGGGCTGATATTAACCATTATTTGCACAATAAACCTGAAATCGAATTAAGGATATATATGGGAGCTATATTCAAATTGTAGCCGTTCAAGATAAAATAAGATAAAATTTGTCAGAGGTATTTCCGAGCTCTATAAGATATCGGGTACCAAATATCATTGCTGTCGAATGCATATTACGAACGTGAGGAACTTAAACACCAAATCGGATAAAACATTTATATGGGAGCTATATCCAAATATGAACCGATCTCGATAAAAATTGGGAATTGTATTTCTGGCCTGTATCCGTTGTCTAGTACTAAATATCACTGTTGTCGAATGCATATTACGAATGTGAGGAACTTAAACACCAAATGGGGTGAAACATATATATGGGAGCTAGAGCTATATCTGAACCGATAACAAAATCGATGTACTTGCTTCTAGACTGAATTCGGTCAGATGAACCAAAATCCAGGTCATTTGGACTTATATTGGCCATTTAGTGCACAATTAACCCGAAATCGGTTGAAGATATATATGGGAGATGTATCCAAATCAGAACCGGTCTCGAAAAAATTTGGCAAAGGTATTTCTGGGCTGTATCTGTTGTCTGGTACCAAATATCACTGTTGTCGACGGCATATTACCAATGTGAGGGACTTAAACACAAAATCGGATGAAACATATATGTGGGAGCAATGGCTATATCTGAACCAATTTTCACCAAATTTCACCAAATTTGATGTACTTGCTTCTAGACTGAATTCGGTGGGATGTACCAAAATCCAGTTCATTTGGAGTTATATTTGCCACTTAGTGCACAATTAATCCGAAATCGGTTGAAGATATATATGGGAGCTATATCTTAATTTGAACCGATTCTCATCAATTTCAATAGGGGTTGTCCTTGGGCCAAACAAATATTGTTTGGAAAATTTAATCTCAATCGGATAATAAATGCGACCTTCCTTTTTTCACAAGAATACATGGACAGACAGACTGACATGCATAAATCGACTCGGAAAGTGATTCAATGAAGATCCTCAAAAGTAACTATGGGTCTATCTCGCTACCATCTCCATGTTACAAACAAATGCATAAAGAAATAATACCCACAATGTGGTGTAGGGTTTAAATATAACGAATAACAGCTGATTGCCAGTTATTAAATATACCTTATTAAATATACCTTGTTACGAAACACTGTCTTGGCCCAATGGAAATAAAATAAAACAGAATTTAATTTCCAGACATATAAAATTAGTTTTAATTTTTTCTCAGTGTATTATTAATTTTTTCCAAAAAGCTGAAACAATATGTCATTCATTGTCGAGAAACAAAAAACTTGAAACTCTTTGAAACACACCGTCCGCTATAAACAAAGGCCCTAAGCGTGGTGACCTTAACCACCGAATGTTGACTGAAGTGGACGAAAATTAGTTGCGCTTTTAAACAAAACGATGAAAAAGACACGGCTTTGTGTGCTGCTTCGGAGCAGGCCCAAATTCATAAATGCGTTACCATCGATCAATTTAATCGGACCCGATTTCGAGTGGTTACATGAAAAGTGAATGAAAGTGCGAGTGATATGTCACTGGAGAGCGACAGCGACAGAAAAATTGGTTTTGGTTAAAATTTTAAAAAAAAATCTTAATTGATTGCAAATTCAAATGAAAATCATCAATCAAATGGTGGGCGGCGCAATGGCAAAATTTGAAGTTGAAGTGAAATGAAGTGATGAAATGTAGCTATGGCAAAAAATCTCAAATTTTGAATATTTTTACATAACCGTTTGTTTTTTTTTTTAAATCTTTTAGATAACAGTTTCAGAAATTTTTTGAATCAAACTTAAAGAATATCAAATTGCAAAACGTTCAATAGCCAGCCATCCAGTCAGTCAGTTAAGCAGCCGCAGTGCTTGTCGTTGAGTGTGTCGCACATAAACACACACCTCTCTAAGTAAACGGAAATAATTATTAACAACGGCCCAAATGCCAAATAAAAGTGAAAAATCAATCAAAACCTACAACCCAACAACAACGTCGTAACAACAACTAATCAAACAGCGACAGTGACAAATCCAATAACAACAACTACTACTACCCCGCACGGCGAAACATAAACCTCTAACAAATTCAAATTCACACTGAAATCATTATTAAATCAATGCCCCCGTCAGCTTTGCGCGACGATAGTGACGGACGGGCCTAGCATAGTAATTACACCCTACGGCCATACAAGTGGCAAAATAAGGAATTCCTCTGCAAACTTGGCTAACAACAAGCACGCACACACTCACACACCCCCGTACGGATATTTTAAGCTTGGGAGTTTTGTCTGCCCATCCAAAACAACGCCAGACCCCTGGGCCCTTTTAAGTCAACCAGCCAACCAACCACCCACAAACGGAGAGCACGTGCGGCCCAACAATGACAGCAGAGGCGGAAAGTTTATTGGCACCCATAAGTCGCAACGGCCACACCAGGGCACCGTCATCCACTTCCACGGCGGAAATTATTGAGTCGGTGCCCTGCTGTTGTCAGGGCCATTGTCAACAGCCGTCGACGAGTGCGGCCAGTGCCTCTGCCACATTGTGTTCCAACTCATCGGAATCATGGTCATCATATTCCGTTCATCAACATCGTAGCTGTTGCCATCATGCCTGTGAGTGTCCGGTGACGGCAGCAGAATCATTCAGTTTCCTGCCTCAAACATCCAATGCAAATTCGACATCGAATGCCGATGCCACAGAATCGGTGACACTGCGACAGGGTGATATTTCAGCGTTTCAAGGCTATGGCTCCGAGGATGAAGACAGTGTTCTGCGGTACTCCTTCAAAGGCATACCGCCCGAATTGTATTCGGCCAAAAAGGATTTCATCTATCGAAGGCCATTGGTTGAGAAACAGGTAAGTTTTCGGTTTTAATTTTGGAATTTTTTCTTTTGAAATTTGGCTTGGAGGACTTTTGTGTTGCAGAGGCTTGGCCCAGCAACATCATGTTCTGTTTTGCTTTTATTCTTTTTCTTCTGATTTATGCAAAGAAAAGAATTGTTTTTTTTTTATTTTTTTTGGGTGGGAATTGAAAAAAAAAAATGTTGCCAATAAAATTTTTAGTTGGAAATTTATTGATTTTTAAATTTAATTTGATTTGTATTCGATTTCGTTTAAAATTTCACATGTGTAGTACCCTCTCATTCGTTTTGTTTTGTTTGTTCGTGTCTCGTTCACCGCAGACATAGATAGGCTGAATTGTGGTGCTCGCTGTGGTTGTGGTTATTTTTAAAAAGAGTATAAGTCACGTTTGTAATAAAATTATACTTACTTGGCTTTGTTAGCTCTAATTTGATTAAAAACAATCACTAAATAAAATAAACAAATCACTGCAAAAAAAAAAAGTTTTTGATATTTGGAAGCCATTTCCAAATTTAATCTCGATAAAATTTGGTAAAGGTATTTCCGAGCTCTATAAGATATCTGGTACCCAATTTCATTCTTGTGGAGCTAAATCCATTCATAACTAGCTTAGAACAGAATTATAGTTTCTAAGACACGGGAATGAAACAAAATCCTAGAAGTGTATGCCTTGACATCGAATTATATGATTTTGAGATTGTTTTTTTCTTTGCAAGATTTGTTGTGCCAGCGAGGGAAAGAGAAAAATTCAAAACGAAAGGGTATATTTATTTGAAACTATCATCGAAATAACGGGTCTATACTCTAGGTATCTTTGGACCAAATCCGTTTCAGGACATTTGCAGCTGATCTAGTATCCGATTTGGTCCAAACGTGGTATATGGTAATATTAATATAAAACTTAAATCGAGTTCGGAGATGGGTAATATCGGACCCCTACATTTAGTGCCTCGCCCGCAAAAGGTCACAATTTTCATAGAAAATAATTTGACTAATAGAACAAAAAAGGATCATCCAATTTTATTCAAACTTTGGTCAGGTGCGAAAATGGACAATATCGTTCCACTCCTTCATGTTCCTCCCCCACACAAAGGCAGAATTACAAGTATTGTAAGGTCTGAAATGAGGGTTCGATTGTCTTCAAGTTTTGTGAGTTTCATTACTTTTTATAACACAAAATCAGCTGGAAAGATGGCATATATCGGGTCACTCCTTCCTCCCACACAACGGGTCAAAATGTTGAATAATTACATATCTCGAAGGCGAGATTAACACCCTATCCCCTGCAAATTTCGAAATTTCAAAATCCTAATATTTTTATTGACAAAATATCTGGTGTTAAGATGAGGCATATCAGTCCACTACTTCTTGTACCTCCGCCAAAACGGGTTAAAAATTTTGAATAATTTCAGGGTGAGATAAAAAACTGCAACAAAGTCAAACGCCATAATTTTTACATTCTTCTTTTTTTTAAATTTATTGAATAAAATAAAAAATGTCGGAAATAGCATCAAATTTTAAAATAAGTTTAGATTTGTTCGAATTGGTCACCTTTGGCACGAATTATGGCCTTCAAACGGCCAATGAAACCGTCACACGCTGCCCGAATGTTTCTCTGCGGCATTTTGGCCCATTCCCGGCGAAGCGCTTGCTTGAGGTGATCGACTCTTTGATATTTTTAGAGCCAACCTTGCTTTCCGAAATACTCCAGACACAATAGTCCCATAGATTGGTATCCGAAGATTATGGAGGCGAGGAACCTCATTTTGTAACCATTCTTGGGCGGCGCGTGCTGAGTGCGATATTGCTGAGTCCTGTTGGAATGTCCAAGGTCTGTGGCCAAAATGTTTGCGTGATCATAGCTTTAATACACCCTCCTGAAAGTTTTTACAATAATATTCGGCATTTATTCTGATGCCACGGTCGATTAATACGAGCGGAGAGCAAGAAGGTCCACAACATCACCAAGGCCGGCGCTTGAGTTCTGGTGGCCAACCGAAGGTGCACATTTTCAGCTGGCCTCTTTGACAAGTAAACAAACTGCTGGACATCGGAGAAAACGAAATTCGACAGTCCACCACTTTCGGTCAAGTGAAGCAACTCTTTAGATCTTTTAAGTCTATTTACTTTTCATTGCGGTGTAAGTTCTAGCACTTTTTGGAATTTCAATGGCTTTACACCGAGCTCATTTTTCAATATATGTCGAATGGAATATTGTGATATGTTCAGCTCACGAGCCATTTTTTGCCACTGTGATGCGGGTTTCGATCTAGTCGCTTCTTTACTTTTCGAACAATTTCTGCCAATGTTGCTGTTTTCTTCCTTCCACTTCCTTGGGCACGAACGATGGTACGAGACACAAAACATTTATTTCCATTTAGAATATATATATACCTCCAGAAGGATTATATATATATATATATATATATATATATATATATATATATATATATATATGTATATATATATATATATATATATATATATATATATATATATATATATATATATATATATATATATATATATATTAAAAAGAAATAATGGCAAATATCAGCCCAATTGGATTGAATTTCGGGACGTACATACGTATATATATATATATATATATATATATATATATATATATATATATATATATATATATATATATATATATATATATATATATATATGGTATGTACGTCCCGAAATTCAATCCAATTGGGCTGATATTTACCATTATTGTGTTAAGGATATATATGGGGGGTATATCCAAATCTTAGGCGTTCAACATAAAATATGGCAAAGGCATTTCGAGCTCTATATGATGTCTGCTACCAAATATTATTGTTGGCGAATGCATATTACGAATATGAGGGACTTAAGCCCCCAATTCGGATGGGAGCTATAGCTATATCTGAACCGATTTCCACCAAATTTGATGTGCCAAAATTCAGGTCATTTGGACTTATATTGCCCATTTGGTGCACTATTATCCCAAAATCGGTTGAAGATATATGGGAGCTATATCCAAATATGATCCGATTATCACCAATTTCAATAGGGTTCGTTCTTTGGCCAAACAAATATTGCTTTTTTAAATTTAATTTAAATCGATGATAAATGCGACCTGCATGACATTCGTAAATCTACTCAGAACGTAATTCGACGAATATCCTCAAAAGTAACTATGGGTCTATCTCGCTTCCTTCTCCATGTTACAAACAAATGCACATTTTTAGGGGACTCAAACTATTTTCTAAAGTTACTAACGGAATTACATTCTAGACATACCCTCCCTGCCACGGGAGGGTGTCGTCGCCTTAACAATTTTAAATAATGTTGATTTATTCCAGAGCATGACTGATAACGAAGCTATGACAATAAAAATCCATAATTGTCCGCAAAGCATATGTGTGACATGTCGTAAAAATTTAATGAGGGAACAATGTGGAAGTCATAAAACGTATTTGAATGTTATTCAAATTTTTGAGACCTTATTCGAATTTATTGATTTTCGAAAGGGGGCTTTAATTGTGCTTTCGGAAAACAAAATATTAAAATGTTATTGTGACGTATGATTGATAAAGAAAACATGAATTCTATAACAATTATACGTATGTGGGGGTGCTTTCGTTTGAAGGACATTCGAAAATAATTTACTAATTTTTATGGATTCCTAGGAATCAGGAAGTGCTATACATTGCTGATTTGCGCTTTAATTTCGAAAAAAATATTTCCTTATTTTATCTAAAAAATTAAATAGGAAATATTTTCTACCCTATAAAAAATAAATTTGCAAACAAACCCCCCTCATGCCTGCCCAATAACACACCTTTGCCAACATAAAAAACGCCAATTTTTATGCACGACTAAAGGTGCAAATTGTCATAATTTGTTTGTGCTCTTCAAAAAATTTGCCAAGCATTTGTAGTGTTCAAGTCCCACTTATTTGCCATATTTGCACAAAAAAAAAACCGTAACATCTGTCTTTTGTCGCACATTTGCCGCATGACCTTGGATATGCCCAAAATAACCAAAAAAACAAAAAAAAAAATTGACCCACGCTTCTAGAACAACTATAGCCCGATAAGCGTGGCTTAGGTTAAAAGGAAAACGAGCCAAACCACAACATGCTGATTTGCCACAACTGATAACATTTATCCAGTGATCTTGTCTCATTCTAAGTGTCATGGGGAAGATTCTGTTGTTGTTTTTTTATGGCGGCTAGTTTTTTTTATGTCTTTCCCGGTTCCATAAAAAAATCCAACAAAATCATTTTTTTCCTTATTTTTTATTATTTGTTTGCATTTATTGCTGTTATGACGGCAATTTGTTTTCGTTTTTTTTTTGCTGTTGTTGTTTGGTTTTTTGTTGCTAGTTCGGCACGTTGGTGTCTGAACGCTCTCTATTGCACAGATATTCGATTCGGCCATTTATGCTGATCACCGAAAATAATTTATTTTTTCGACACTGTTGCAAAATTCTGTGTACACACATATGGACTACATACGTACTGGTATAAATATATAAATCTCACATACAGAGGCTCCATGAATACAATACGTTGAATTTCAAAACGTTCTAACTCCGAATGTTTTGAAATTATAATGAAATCGTATTTAGTTTAATAATAGGGAAAGTACCTCTGCATATTCTATTAAATGCGCTCGTAAACTAGCAGAGAATTATAAGGAGTTAAGACTAGTTGTCATTTTTAGAATTTGAGAGGGGTGATTTATTATATGTCATATTCTGTCATATGCTTGGACACTTTTCATATCCAGGACTACAGAAAATTACGTATTATGACAGAATACTGATTGCCGTTCCACTCCAGACTCCCTTTTCGATTACGACACTGTAACAATTTGACATGTGTATCATAGTTTTGAAATGTTATGCTACATTCTGTGATGTTATCGTGTAATGATTTATTGAAATCCTTATATTTTAGGTGTATAGAATATTTTGCAACATTACTGGTAACAATCTCAAAAATTTTTCAAAAC